AAAAAAAAAAAAAAAAAAAAAAGGCTGACACCTGTATAAGGAGTTAAACTATCAACCTGGTGCGGTGGCTCACACCTGTAATCCCAGCACTTGGGAGGCCAAGGTGGGTGGATTGCCTGAGCTCATAGGTTCGAGACCCACCTGAACCAGAGCAAGATCCCATCTCTAAAAATAGCTGGGCGTTGTGGCAGGCACCTGTAATCCCAGCTGCTCAGGAGGCTGAGGCAAGAGGATTGTTTGAGCCCAAGAGTTTGAGGTTGCTGTGAGCTATGACACCATGTACTCTACCAAGGGTGACAAAATGAGGCTGTCTCCCCCTCCTCCAAATAAAAAGAGTTAAACTATCACTGTAACTTGTATCCTCGAGTTCCCATTCACCACACACCTGGAGAAGACTAAAGGAAACCCGAAAGGCTCTCTATTAAATATAGAAACACTAGCTGGGCATTGAGGTGGGCGCCTGTAGTCCCAGCCTAAGAGTCTGAGGTTGCCGTAAGCTATGATACCACAGCACTCTACCAAGGGTGACCGAGACTCTGACTCAAAAAATAATAAAAATAAAATAAAATAATAAAATTAAAGTTAAATATAGGTAAAATAAAATAAAGTATTAAAAAATGAGCTGAGCATGGTGCCACACAAGGAAACCTGGAAATGGTCTCTTTTTTCCCCAAACTCCTAATCACGGTCTCTGGCGTAGACTCCATCCTGAGCTTGTGTGCGTCCTATTTCCCCTGCTGTGCTGTGAGCCCGAGAACACGGAGCGCTCAGTGTCCACCAGCACGTCATCGAGGCTTTTTCCTGCTCCTTCCCGTCTCTCTTGTTCACACTGAACCAATTAATCATCGGTGACTGTGTGCTCTGCTCTGTATTCTTTAACAATACTTTTAAGAAGCTGAAAACGAACTAAAATTACGAGTAAAGTGAAACAGCAAAGGGGGTCCAAAATGTCTTGAAGTTAAACACAAAACAAGGTCTACGCTGTCAGCCAGACAAAAGGGGTCTGTGGGAAAGCAGGAGGGGTCCGGCCGAGGGTGTGAGGCCGTGGAAACGCCTTTCCTGAGCTCCCTCCGCCTCAGAGTGGCACGAGTTCCTTCTTCTAGTTCCCAAAGTCTCCAGAAGCAGCTGTGTGATTCAGTGTGTGCCCAACAACCGCCTGCACCCGGGTTCTGGTGGCTGGGAAGAAACTCAGGCTGAGTCTCTCAGCATAGTGCTTATCATTATAAACCTGGGCAGTGGGGAAAGAGGTGATAACTTGAAGGGCCTAACAGGCTACTCTTCACTCTTCCTTCTTACCATCCACCAAAAGTATGTCGGGGGGGTAAAACAAAACAAAACAAAACAGAACTTACTTTGAGCAGCCAAGTGAGAACTGAGTCACGATATGGAACAAACTTGTTCTTGTTTTTGCCCGCACTCTGATCTGCTAGGGCCGAGATAACCAGTCCGAGGGTTGTGAGGGACCTGCATGGGGTAACAACAGATGATGATAATCACAAAAACTGGAATATTCCCAACGTCATGTCAGCAGAGATTGCAAACCAAGATGCCCTGCCCTGCCCTGCCCTGCCCTGCATGTACGAGGGCCCCTGTCAGCAATCTGCTGCTCAGCTCTGGGGCACAGAACTCTCCGCTGTTTAGAGCTGGTCCCTCTAACGCGACCTTAAGCAATAAAAATGCTTAGCACCCCCCCCCCTTTTTTGGTAGAAAAAACATGAGCCATAAATCTTCAGGTCAAGATAACAACGTAAGGCTGGGCTCCGTGGCTCACACCTATAATCCTAGCACTCTGGGAGGCTGACGTGGGTAGATCCCTTGAGCTCAGGAGTTTGAGACCACTCTGAGCAAAAGCGAGACCCTAGTCTCTACTAAAAATAGTAAAAAAAAAAAAAAAAAAAACTAGCCAGGTGTCTCAGCAGGCACCTTTAGTCCCAGTTACTTGGGAGGCTGAGGCAAGAGCATCTATTGAGCCCAAAAGACTGATGTTGCTGTGAGCTGTGATGATACCGCAGCACTCTACCCAGGGCGACAGAGTGAGATTCTGTCTCAAAAAAATAAAATTAAAATAACAACACAAATGCCACATATTCTTAAGAAGCCACAAGTACAATATAATGATTAAAACACAGTACAAGGTAAAGATAATATAGTCAGCTTGAGTTACACACATCCAACTTATGTACAACTCACACTTTCAAATTGGGGCTGTTATAGTTAAGGCCCTAAGTTATACACATCCAAGTGACGTATGACTTGCACTTACAAACAGAGGCTATCACAGGACAAGATGAATGTACCTATTCCAGCTTACATACAAATTCAGCTGAAGAACACATGTCTACAGAAACGGGTCCTGTCTGTAACCCAGGGACTGGCTACATCCATACGGTCGAGCAGGAGGAAGCACCTGGCTGAAGGTGTCCTATCATCTCCAGGCGGTTACTGAGGATGGAAGAGATTCCCACCCACCAGGAGGTCGCAATGTGGCTTGAGGGAGAAGCTGTAACTGTATGAAGGGCTGGGAAACGAAACATTCCTCTGCGAAGCAGCAGCTGCCCAGGGCCAGGACAAAAACAGCAGCCCCAGCAGCGGTTAGAGGAGGGAAGGCCCAGCGGGGCTTATACGTGTGTGACTGGTTCAAACAGCAACACAGGGTGAAGACCCACAGCTGCTCTGGGGGGACCACTGTCTCCGTTCCCTTCTGCAGCTTAGACCAGCGGTTCCCAACCGGGAGGGTGACTGGGCCTCAAAGGAAACAGCACACAGCATCCAGGGGCTGGCCTGTCAGCCACGGGGGGCAGAAGAGGTGGCACGCATTACCGCCATCTGGGGGGCTGCAGCCAAGGATGCTGCTGAATGCCCTACAAAGCACAGGAGCCCCACTATGAAAAGAATTCCCAAGCCCCAAACCTGGATAGGCCCACTGTTGAGCCAGCCTGCCTGCTTTGACAGCCAGCCCCATCAGATATCCCAAGGCTCGAATGAGCTCAGGCCTGCAGAAGATACTAGAAAAAATTCCAAAACTATTAATTCACTGTAGCCTTAATCATTCCAGAATCCACAGATTATTATTATTTTAACATCCACAGATGTTCCCCCATTTAGCGTCTACACCAATAAAGCTCCACACACAAGCTTCTGGGAAACCCACTTGTTAATGTTGCTTCCCTCCTTCAGTCTGTCGCCAGCAGCTCCGGTCTTCGTTGCCCGTTCACTGCCGGCTAAATCCACCAAGCTCAGTTTGCCCACTTTCTCCCCAGACGTCTACAAAGTGAACGGACAAACACTAATAAACTGTAAAGAATACAGAAAGTGGTACCAAACGGGCTCGTGATCTAAATCCTTTTGTTGCGTTCTACATAAATTATTTTCTGTTGCTATAAAATGCTATTAAAAAGCATTTTTTTTGTATGTATCCATTAGTAGTGGATACATACAATATTTACAAAACTCTACTAATCAGACAGAATAACTATCCCAGAAAAATAGTACCTCCAAAGAGGGCTGCTGGGAAGGAAGCCCAATACAAATTCTGAGTGCTTACAAGATATAAATTTTACCAAGATCGGAAACTGTGCTTAAAACTGCATGAATATTTACCAACAATCCGGAGACAAATACTTGAAAGTCTTACTGATATTTAAAAAAAGTTAGTCTATCCAAGTCACGGCACCAAAAAAAGAAAAAAAGGTTAATCTGGGCCAAGCATGGTGGCTCATGCCTCTAATCCCAGCATGCTGGGAAGCCAAGGCAGGTGGAGACCCCATCTATACTAAAAATAGAAAAAAAAACTAGCCAGGCATTGTAACCTGTAGTCGTGGCTATTTGTGAGGCTGAGGCAAGAGGATCACTGGAACCCCAGAGTTTGAGGTTGCTGTGAGCTATGACACTATGGCACTCTAGCCACGGCAGCAAAGTGATACTCTATCTTAGAAAAAAAAAAAAAGAAGCAACAGCTCATAGCCTAACATCTGCTACTAGTTGTTTTGTAATTTCAGTAAGTTTCTTAGGTCTGGGCTTGGCGCCTGTGGCTCAAGTGGCTAAGGCACCAGCCACATACACCTAAGGTGGTGGGTTCCACTCCCCACCTGGGCCCGCCAAAACAACAATGATGGCTGCAACCAAAAAAAATAGCCAGGCACTGTGGCAGGTGCTTGTGGTCCCAGCTACTTGGGAGGCTGAGGCAGGAGACTCACTTGAGCCCAGGAGTTGGAGGTTGCTGTGAGCTATGATGCCACAGTACTCTACCCAGGGGGACAGCTTGAGGCTCTGTCTCAAAAAAAATAAAGTTCCTTAGGTCTGCATAGCATTCAATAGAATGGGGTATTCAGGTCTGGTGTGGTGGCTCAGTCCTGCAATCCTAGCACTCTGGGAGGGTGAGGTAGGTGGATCATTTGAGGTCAGGAGAAAAAGACCAGCCTAAGCAAAGTGAGAAACCAACTCTGCTAAAAATAGAAACTGGGGGCAGCACCTATGGCTCAAAGAAGTAGAGCGCCGGCCCCATATGCCGGAGGTGGTGGGTTCAAACCCAGCCCCAGCCAAAAACAGCGAAAAAAATAGAAACTGTGCTAGGCATGATGGCCCACACCTGTACTCCCAACTACTGGGGAGGCTGAGGCAGGAGGACTGCCTGAGACCAGGAGTTTGAGGTTTCTGTGAGCTATGACTCCATGGCACTCTAGCATAGGGCAACACAGCGAGAATCCCTCTCAAAAAAAAACATAAAATAAATTATCTGACTTTTATAAAACAGAATAACTCTAGGGCTCAGCACCTGTTGCTCCGTGGTTAAGGCGCCAGACACACGCACTGGGGCTGCTGGGTTCAAACCTGGCCAGGGCCTGCTAAACAACAATGACAACAACAGAAAAAAAAAAAATAGCTGGGCATTGTGGTGGGCACCTGTAGTCCCAGCTACCAGGGAGGCTGAGGCAAGAAAATCACTTAAGCCCAAGAATTTGAGGTTGCTGTAAGCTGTGATACCACAGCACTCTACCAAGGGCAATATAGTGAGGCTCTGTGTCAAAAAAAAATAAAATAAAATAAAAATTCTCAAAAACTCAAACCACTTTCCAAAGTTTTTTCTCTTGTTCATATGTAATTCCTTTTTTTCATAATTTTGGGTATTAGATTTATGCAGATTTATATATGATGAATATACTACATATACACATATATACTGATATTTTCCTTTATCAAAGTCGACTTGGCGCCTGTGGCTCAAGCGGCTAAGGCGCCAGCCACATACACCTAAGGTGGCGGGTTCGAATCCCCAGCCCGGGCCCGCCAAACAACAATGCCGGCTGCAACCAAAAAAATGGCCGGGCATTGTGGCAGGCGCCTGTAGTCCCAGCTACTTGGGAGGCTGAGGCAGGAGAATCGCTTGAGCCCAGGAGTTGGAGGTTGCTGTGAGCTGTGATGCCACGGCACTCTACCCAGGGGGACAGCTTGAAGCTCCGTCTCAAAAAAAAAAGATGTCTATTATCAATTCATTAACAGATTTTTCTTTTTTTTTGAGACAGAGTCTCACAATGTAGCTCTCAGTAGCGTGCAGTGGTGCACAGCTCACAGCAACTCCAAACTCTTGGGCTCAAGCGATTCTCTTGCCTCAGCCTCCCAAATAGCTGGGACTACAGACACTTGCCACAACGCCCAGCTATTTTATGTTGCAGTTGTCATTGTTGATTTTAGCTGGCCTGGGCTGGGCTCAAACCCGCCAGCCTGGGTGTATGTGGCTGGAGCTCTACCCATGGGTGCTGCCCATGTAACAGATATTTTATACATATATTTTGTATAAAAAGCAATAGAAGCAATAGAGGAAAACAATGTCAAACTCTACAAAGTGGATCATTTTTAAAAACTTTCCTTTAAAATATGTACTTATAGCTAGGAATGATGGCTCACATCTATAATCCCATCACTCTGGGAGGCAGAGACAGATCAATGGCCTGAGCTCACGAGTTTAAGATCAGTGTGAGCAAGAGAGAGACCCCCGTCTCTACTAAAAATAGAAAAAGTATCCAGGAGTCATGATGAGCCAGGAGGATCACTTGAGCCCAAGAGATTGAGGTTGCTATAAGCTATGATGACACAACAGTACTCTACCCAGGGCAACAGAGTGAGATTTTTGTCTCAAAAAATAAAATAGGGCGGCACCTGTGGCTCAGGGGCTAGGGAGCCAGCCCTGTATACTGAGGGTGGTGGGTTTGAACCTGGTCCCAGCCAAACTGAAACCAAAAAATAGCCAGACTTTGTAGCGGGAACCTGTATTCCCAGCTACTTGAGAGGCCTAAGCCCAGGAGTTGGAGACTGCTGTGATGACACGGCACTCTACCAAGGGCAATATAGTGACACTGTCTCTAAAAAATAAGTAAATGAAATAAAATAAAAAATAAAATATACATTTATATTTCTATAAATAAACATGTTGCTAATAAGGATCTACAGCTTCCCAAATCAAAAGTACTTTTGGTTTAAAATAAAGTCTTCAGTATGTTTTTGTTTTATGCAGAAAAGGAAATAGGAAACAAAGACCTTTTTGTTGTTATATTAATCTTGTTGTGATGGTAAAAGAAGAAAAATATGCTTTCAGCAAATGAAAATCCTGCCAAAACACAGCAATCTGCCAGGGTGATTATTTTAGCTTCTGGTATTTGAAACTGATGCACAGAGGACAGACATCACAGCAAAACATGTAAAACTTTATATAAAAACAGGGAGGAAGGGCAGCACCTGTGGCTCAAAAGGGTAGGACGCCAGCCCCATATGCCGGAGGTGGCGGGTTCAAACCCAGCCCCAGCCAAAAATAAATAAATAAATAAAATTTAAAAAAAAAAAAAAAAAACCAGGGAGGAAGGCTTGGCACCTGTAGTTCAGTGGCTAGGGCGCCAGCCACATACACCAGAGCTGGTGGGTTCAAATGCGGCCTAGGCCTGCCAAACAATGACAACTACAACCAAAAAACAGCTGGGCATTGTAGCAGGTGCCTGTAGTCTCAGCTACTTGGGAGGCTGAGGCAAGAGAATCGCTTAAGCCCAAGAGTTTGAGGTTGCTGTGAGCCGTGATGCCACAGCACTCTACCCATGTGGTTGCCATCACAGTGTGAAGCCCAAACACAGTTCTGGCTGCGGCAGAGACTGAGGGTCGTCAAGTGCTTGACAGAAACAACTCTTTATTCCTGCTTCCTGGATCACAGACATGGGGTGTGCCTGGAACTCACAGTTCTAATGGTGTCCTCAGAGGTGGCACCAGCCTTGGAGACCAGATCTGTGCTGCTCTGGGAGTTTTTCCTAGAAATTCAGTCTAGAACTCACTCCTGCTCAGGTGTCCCGACAACGCATACCATCAAATCCGCTCTCTTAAATCCCTATTTATCTAGAGCTGCTTCTGTATTTCATCCAGAGTCTTAATTCACTTGGTCTAGCCAGGATTTCCCCCCTCCCCCAATTCATTACAGTCAGATAGCCAGGACTTCAATTCATTCCACTTTAGAAATGTGAAAGAAGGTCGCCCATCTGAACACCTACCCCAGACTTCACATCATAGAGCGTGTGCGTGAGAGTGATTTTGAAAACCGCATGGGATCGGCTGCTCTCCTCGTTCATGTTGGTGGCAGCCACGGTGCGAGATTTGTTACCCTCAGACATCAAAGACTCAATATCCTACGTGGAAACAAATCAGAGACGCGCATTTCAGCATTTGTGTGAAGATTCAAACTGTGCTATCTACAAAATGCATCTTAGTCAACATCTGGAGTTTACATTTTGATTTTCAACGAATCTTAAGCCCCAACGCTCCTGCTGAAAACTCGAGGTGCATTATCTTCTGTAGGTATGGCTTTGACTCAGAATTTAAGAAGTTCGGAAGCTATGCTTTTGAATCACACAAGGAGGACAAACACACCATGCCAATCACTTAATTCAGAAATGTGGAAAAATTTCATTTCTTCAATAAAGCAATACAAGTATATTGGTTTTTGCTTTTTGGTTTTTTTTTTTTGAGACAGAGTCTCAAGCTGTCGCCACGGGGTCATAGCTCATGGCAACCTCCAACTTGGGCTCAAGTGATCCTCTTGACTTAGTTTTCCTATTTTTACTAGACGGGTCTTGCTTTTGCTCAGGCTGATCTTGAATCCGTGAGCTCAAGCAATCCACCCGCCTCAGCTTCCCAGAGTACTAGGATTACCGGCGTGAGCCACCACGTCCTGCTGTAATACAAGTAAATTGTTAAAACAGATTATAGAAATATGAAAAAAAACAAATAAAAACAACCTGTAACTCCTTCACCCAGGCACATCACAAACTACCATACCTTGATGTGTATCTGACCAGACCTGCTGTCAAAAATGAGGACCTCTAGAGATTGATTTTGTGCATAGATTTACCATCTGACAGATATTACTACTAAAAAAGAGATAGTATGACCAGGCGTGGTGGCTCAGGCCTGTAATCCCAACACTTTGGAAGGCTGAGGGAAAAGGATCACGTTAGCCCAGGAGTTCAAAACCAGCCTAGAGAACATAGCAAGACCCTGATTTCTACAAAAATTTTACAAATTAGCCAGGCATGGTGGTGCACGTCTATACTCCTTGGGAGGCAGAGGCTGAGACTGGAGGATCACTTTAGCCCAGGAGTCCAAGGATGCGGTAATCTATGATCAGGCCGCTGTTCCCTGAGACCCTGCCTCTCGAAAAAAGAAAGAGACAGTATAATAGAAAAATCATAGGATATCCATTTATTAAAATGTTATAAGCTCAGTTACTTAACCAGTCTGGATTTCAGTTGCATTAATAACAATACAGAGCTGTAGCACCCTATCCACCTTATAAAAATTTGAGGAACAAGAAAGATGTGTGGGGAAAGCTGACTCACTGCCTCCCACTGCCCCGTCTTCTCTTCAGCAAAAGAGCCCATCTTTTAAGCACCTCATTGCAGAGTTGAAAGATTACATTTCCCAGATGCCCTTGCAGCTCAGTCTGGCCACATGACTTAAGTTTAAGCAAACCCAATTGAAGGCATAACACAGGCTGTCTGGGAATACTCCTGGGAGGGAGTAGCATGCTACCACATGTTGGTTCTGAGCCATCTTGAACCAGGAGAACCTGGGCATCCCTACAGCTCTCTATGTGGAGTGCTGGAAGGACTCTACATCCCTAAGAGCATCCTTGGAGCCACCATACCAGCCCTAGAGAGTGAACCTCCATCTTTCTTTCACGTGAGAAGTCTTGTTTAAATCACCACTCATGCTTTGATTCAGTCATTCGAATGCACCTTGAGGGCACCCACCATATGCCAGGTACTTTCTAGACACGAAGGCTACATAGCCAAAAAAGGAAAAGAACAGATAATAACCCACGTTTCGAAAACCTAAATCTATTTTTCTGTTACATGGAACTAAACATAATCCTGATATAGATATGAAAAACTTTGAAGACCACATAATTCTATTTTGCTGTATAAATGAAAGAATAATGTTTAAGAAAAAAAAAATCAACACTATAAAAACCTCAAAGGAAAAAAAAAAACATTAACTAAAAAAGAAGTATAAGGAGGCCACAAAATGGAAACAAAGTACAAAAGGGTAAAAGTCACAATTTTCTACATCCATTCCACAGCCATTTGAGACCCACTAAGTTGGTAAACCCCGAGGTTTATTTATTAATAAAGCTTCATTCTACTCATTTTACATTTATTCACTGGTCTCTGTCTCTTTCTAAGATTTTTGTAAGTGATTTTTTATTAAGTAATGCTCTGGCAAATTTTTTAAAACATTAACGAATTAAACCCCCCTCCAAACTTTGCTGCACTAAATTTAAGTATTTCACATAAAAGATGTTGTTACCTTGTAGCTTGTGACAGCCAGTTTGGAAAGTCCATCAACATAGGGCCCCAACACACTATGTTCCCTGACTTTCAACGTCTGGCGGCTTCTGTTCATCAAAAACAAAGAAACGATTTTTTTTTTTTAACAATAACTTGTTTTTAACAGGACTCCACTGTGCTCCAAAAAATACAAACTGAATTCAAGAAAGATTCCAAACAAGTAAACCCAACTGACTTGATCTCCAAAGAATTTAAATAAACTTTAAAATCGTCGCTGGAAAGAAAACTTCATGACTGGTGAAATATCACATCAGGCTGAAGGGTACACCGTGGGATGTCTATTTGCTCCCACAAAGAATGCAGAGTCAAACAAATAGGAACAATCTACTTGTCTTATCACAGAATGTGGTACCAAGCCCAGAAGCTCCATAAATGTTAACTGTGCAAAAAAGAACAGCTACAGCCAGATTTCAATCATGAATACAGACAGACAAAAGACAATGAACTGGATCTAATAATTATTTAATAACAGGGTCGTAAGGCTGTTGTAACACTAAAAAAAAGATTCATGCACTTTCAACACGTTGACCGACTGAAGGGGGGCGGCAGTATGATTATTTGCATAAATGCATGAAAAAAATGCTGTAAAGTCAAAATTACTCATTCGTAAGTGAAAACAAATTACAGCTGTTAACAAACAAGGAATCAGAAAACTCAGTAAAGGGCATCAGAGCATACGAGGTCTGACGATTAGGTTTGCAAACACCCTGGGGAAAGTGCTACCCACGTCGTTTCTGAACATCAGTAACAGTCGCTTTTGACTTACTCCCCTTGGGAAGCTGAGCACCAGCACCAGGACCTAGTCCACCCTGCAGAGCAATTCTGGGACTGTTTTTCTGGAATAGCTATCAAAGCTCTCTTCTTATTATCCTTGATGTTCTCAATGTCATCAAAAATGTCTTCTTTTCAATATTTCCTTTATCTTTTGGTAAAGGAAGAAATCACTGGGGGCCAGACCAGGTGAATAGGGAGGGTGTTCCAATGTAGTTATTTGTTTACTGGCTAAAAATTCCCTCGCTGTGACAATGTGAGCTGGGGCACCACAATGATGCAAGAGCCATAAATGGCCCATAATTTTCAGTTGAGATTTTCCTAATTGTTCTCTATCATGGTTTTACTTGGTCTGCTATGATTCTCACAGTCAGCCAATGATTTTGATGCAAAACTTGACAAATTTTTGCAATATTTTTCATCAGTTTTGTTGTTACTGGCCACTCTGCCCTCTCTTCATCAGTGACACTTTCTCTCCTCTCAGAAAAATGTGTAACCCATTCGTACACTGCTATTTTCCTCGTGGCATCATCCCCATGAACTTGAGCTAACATGATTTCACTTCCACTCTTGCCAAGTTTAACAAGAAAATTAGGAATGTTTGTTCATCACTCTAAGCTCTGACATTCTCATGATACACACACAAAAACACACAATAACCAATGCCACTCACCAAAACACCACCACACATCAACACAGACGCAGCTCTGAGACCCTGATACATCAAAGTTATGAAACCCTGGCAAGTTGTCTGTACAGTGCTGCCAACTTAGGCATTTGGGGGCAAGTTTGCAAACTTAATCGTCAGACTTTGTATACAGCACACTTAATATAAATCAAAAAATATTATCAATATTTGCCGAGCTGTCATTCAAAGGGCCCAAAGTTTCAGTAAGAAGGAATAAGTTCTTGGGATCTCTTGCACAGCAGGGTGGCGAGTTACGAACACCCAACTACATCAATCAGCCTTCTCGTATGAATGAACAGAGGTTATTACAGGTAATATGCGCCTGTTCCAACTTAAATATTCAACTTAAGAACAAACCTATAGAAATCTCGTTTGTAACCTGAGGACTGCCTGGAATGTATATTTCAAAATTGCTAAAAAATTTTAAATGTTTACCCACCCTATAAAAACAGTATATGATGTGAGAGAGACATTACTTAGCTTGATTGAATCATCCCATAATGTATACATGTATCAAAACAACACAAGGTATTTCACAAATACATAAAATTATTATTTGTCAATTAAAAATAAAATGTTTTAAAAAGACCATCTGTTGTTCTGCCTGATTGAGGGCCATCTATCAATACCATGTATATATAATATATACGTATTGATCCTGAGAACACAGCTGATTCTTATTTTATGTTCTTTTATTTATCTGTATTTTATAGCATGAATGTATGCTTATTTTGAACTACACAAAATCCTGTTGGTTATTTTTTTGGGGGAGGGGGGGACAGGGTACCACTCTGTTGTCCGGGCTAGAATACAGAGATGCAATCACAGCTCACTGCAGCACCAACCTGCAGACTTAAGCAATCCTCTTCCCTCAACCTCCCAATTAGCTGGGACTAGAGGTACCTGCCACCACACTTAGCTAATTTTTCTGGGTTTTGTGGGGAAGGGGTCTATGTTGCCCAAGCTGGGCTCAAACGACTGCCACATCTCAGCCTCCCAAAGTGCTAGGATTACAGGCATGATCCACCAGGGCTGGCCTTGTTTTTTTTTAAATAAATAATGAATCATAATGCTTAAAATTCTTCGGTTGTTGTTCAATGCCTGCTAAATAAGCTCTATAATCCCCACCTTGATTTGCGTGTGTGTGTATGATATGCATGCTCTTTTATAATCTGCCCTTGTCCACCTCTGCTGACTCACCTTCCCCTAATCCTCACCTTAAGTCAGAATTAATTGACATATATCCGTTCTTTAATAGATTTTGGGCCCCAGGACACCAAGAGCAATGTCTTACTAATCTTGGGGTCTGCAGCTCCTAGCAGAGTTCTGGCAAAAGAACAAACGCACTTGTCTAACCACGTGGAGAGAGAGAGGATAAGGTGACAAAGAAGACGCAAGGCCATCAGCTCCCCTGCCTGGGAGCAGGGGCAGCAGTAACAAGAGGCAGGAGGGGAGAGGAGGAGACACCCACAGCCAGTGCAGACTCTGAAACCACACCCGAAGATACCAGAAATCCCGCTGAACAGAGCAGCCTTTCACGTAAGCAGCAAAGTCAGAGAACGCGGGAGTGACTCAAATCTAGAATGTTTATTGTCCGCTGGTGTACTGACTATCACTGAATGTTTTCTAATAATTTGGAATCCAAAGTACCCTGGGATCAACCAGTAAAACGTCACTTATTACCATATAACTGCAGATAAAGAAGACCACAAGTGCATGCCCCCAAGCTATCCTCACAACAGCCCTCTGAGATCCTGCGTAGTAACTTCATTCCCTTCTGTTCAAGTCAGGACTAGAACTTGTAAGGAACTTGCTCAGGAGGTAATAAGCAGAGGACCAGGGTCCAGCGCTTTGTGAATCCAAATCCAAATGCTGTCAATTACTAACACACACACTAAAGGAGCACATAGGAACCATCCGATACTCTAAACAAGCGTAGATTTTATAGTAAAGATGGAGCTACTCCACAAAAGCACCGTGGAGTCACAACATAGAAAGTCCGTCAGCTAAGAATTTCTGGAAAGAGTGAGTCTGGGCTGCACCTCAAAGCGATGATCTCCATAGAGGTGAAAATCTAGTATTCAAGGCAGGGTGCGAAAATGTCCAGGGTACAGTATTCAGCAAGCCGTGGGGACCCGGGCCATCATCTGCCCATCTCTGGCCTTCTTACTGAACTTCGAGGTCACTCTCCAAACAGGTGACTGCTTCACACCTCCATGCTTTGGCACGGGCTGGTCCTAGGCCTGAACAGTTCACACCTAACTCCTCAGTAGACAATGTCCTACTCAGTGCAAAATTCACCATCTGTGGAATATTCCCTGCCTCTCCGCGCGAGGTAGGTCGTTCCCTCTTTGCTGTCTTTCACAAGTTAAAAAATAAAACAGCACGGGCTTTGGATCCACAAATGCTGTACCCTGTATCATGATAACTGGTTTACAAAAAAGTCTCATTCTGTCCATACTGTGTGTTCTTGTGCTGACTTGCACGGGGCCCAGCACGATAATGATCGCTCGATAACTGTTTGTTAAGTAAAGTTTGTATAGAAACACTTCCTGTGTGAGGCCTGAAGATTATTATCTCTGCCAAAGTCAACTGAGGGCCCAAGAGGCTGAGGACTGTTTTCTCCTGACTGAGCATCGTACGATTCATTTCTCCTTGATCATCATCTTCATCCAAACAAAAGCTCATGCCCTCTGACTGTCTCCAAACTTTCCATGAGCCTCAGCACCTTGGCTCTGTGACCTTGCTAATATTGCTTTCACATCAACAAGCCACAGGCCATGGCCATCATCTCCATCTCTTTCTTCCCACTACGGCACTTCCCAAAAGTCTGAACTCAAAGTACTTTCTGTGCAATGAACAGATTTCCTCAGAAACCTTCCCCTACGACCCTTCCCTGTCAAGTTCAAATATGGCTATAGAATCACAACAACTTTTTTTTTTGAGACAGTCTCACTTTATCACCCTCGGTAGAGTGCCGTAGTGTCACAGCTCACAACAACCCGAAACTCTTGGCTTAAGCGATTCTCTTGTGGCTCGGTGCCCGTAGCTCAGTGAGTAGAGCACCAGCCACATACACTGAAGTTGGCAGGTTCAAGCCCAGCCCAAGCCTGCTAAACAACGACAACTGCAACCAAAAAATAGCCGGGCATTGTAGGGGGCACCTTGTAGTCCTAGCTACTTGGGAGGCTGAGGCAAGAGAACCACTTAAGCCCAAGAGTTTGGGGTTGCTGTGAGCTGTGATGCTGGCACTCTACTGAGGGGCAACATAATAAAATTCTGTCTCAAAAAAAAAAAAAAAAAAAGCGATTCTCTTGCCCCAGCCTCCCAAGTAGCTGGGACTACAGGTGCCTGCCACAATGCCCGCTTATTTTTTTTGTTGTTGCAGTTGTCATTGTTGTTTACCTGGCCCAGGCCAGGTTCAAACCCTATTCTTTTTTTTTTTTAAAGAACTGGATCTTTTTCTGTCACTCAAGCTGGAGTGCAAGGGCCTCATCATAGTTCACTGCAGCTTTGAAGTCCTGGCTCAAGTGATTCTCCTATCTCAGCCTTCCAAGTAGGTGGAACTGTAGGTCCATGCTATGACATCCAGCTAATTTTTCGATTTTTTGTCCAGACAGGGTCTTGCTATGTTGACCAGGTTATAAGAACATGTTTGAAGGCTTTGGAACACATCAGACCCCTTTCTGTTTCAAGGTCTATGCTATGAAATCAAAGGCACTTTGTTTTCCTGCGAACCTTTAAAATTAACTAAAGACCAGGTTTCATTTCTTTGATTAAGGGTCTCCTTTGCTTCAGAGGCTGAAACTGCAAACAAATACCCAAAATTTCTTAGTTTTTTAAAAAAATAAAACTCACAACTGGGCATGGGGGCACAGTAAGTAGTTCATGCCTGTAATCCTAGCACTTTTGGGAGGCCAAGGCAAGAGGACCACTTGAGGCCAAGAGTTAGACACCAGCCTGGACTACATAGTGAGACCCCATCTCTATAAAAATAGAAACATTAGCCAGCACGGTGGTACACACCTCTAGTCCCAGCTACTCTGTAGGCTGAAGCAGGAGGATCACTTAAGCCCAGAAGTTTGAGTCTGCAGTGAGCGATCATGATGCCACTGCATGCTATCCTGGGCAATAGAGAAAGATCCCATTCCCCTCCTAAAAATAAAAAATATAACAACAAACTAATTTTTTAAAAGTACCATTTAGTGAAAATGATTTTCACTAGAAACTTTTTGTTTGTGACTTTGGATGACCCTGAGAAAGGCCATTTCATGCCTGCTCAACCCCTCGTCCCTAGCCTTCCAACTCCTCTCTCACACCAGCCCCAGGTTCAAAAGCCCAGAACTGGCTGTAAGGACCCAAAAGAAATTACAGAGGCAAGAATTAGATGATTCTCTACTGGAGTGCGACATAACAGTTTCACTTAAGCCAACTTATTACGTCCGTTTTAGTGTATAATGCTAAAACACTGAAGTCTTATCAAGTCTTTTACCCTTTGGGGTCAAGGAGGTCTCGGACTTTTTCATTGTAAATCTCCATGTAGGACACCTCTACTTTAAAACTCTGCTCCTCATTTTCTTCTTTCTGAGTTCGTTCAAAGAGTCCACTGCAAAGTCTTGGGATTAGTCCGGGTTGGTCTGCTGTGCCCATCATGGTGTAAGACTTTCCAGACCCTAAAAAGTGAAAGTCAGAGTTAACAGAGTCTCTTTAGGAAGTTTAAATATATAATCCTCTTTCCAAAGCTCAGAACAAAGGCAACGGTTAACATAATAAGTGCAGAAAGTCAAAGGTAAATGCCATTTAGCAAGAAAAAACCTTCAGTTGCCTTCACACATGAAAAACAACAAAAAAAGTGAGGTTTGAAAAGTTTCCTGAAATAATCTGAGAAGATTCATACTCTGAGTACTACTGTTACAGCTCCTAACCACTAATTATACCATAAAGAACACTGGTTATCCCCAAGAGTTAGCTCTTGGCATTAATGTACAAACCAAAAAGTAATTTTTTTTTTTTTTTTTGAGACAGTCTCCCTGTGTTGCCCTCCGCAGTGTGCCGCTACACACGGTGCTTCCTGAAAACATCACAAAGGCGTTTCTAAGAAGCACATTTCCAACTGGACAAGTTGTAGGCTACATATACTCCAGTAGCTATTATAGTTTTCACTTTAAATAGATTTCCTTTCCTTGACCAGAGTTACAGAAGCCAAGAAAGCTCCTTATCAATTATAGCCAGTAGGAAGTAACAAGCGTATTCTTTTTGGTATTTTCTCTGTTATGATTCTTAAAGCTATTCAAAAAAAATTTTTTAAAGGTTAAGGGGCTGGGCTCAGTGGCTCACGCCTACAATCCTAGCACTCTGGGAGGCCAAGGTGGGTGGATTGCCCTGAGATCACAGGTTCAAGACTAGCCTCAGCAAGAGTGTGACCCCCATCTCTAAAAAACAGCTGGGCATTGTGGCAGGCACCTGTAGTCCCAGCTACTTGGAGGCTGAAGTAAGAAGATTGCTTGAACCCAAGAGTTTGAGGTTGCTGTGAGCTAAGACGCCATGGTACTCTACCGAGGGTGACCAAGTAAGACTCTGTCTCAAAAAAAAAAAGGTTCAGCACCTATAGCACAGTGGTTATGGTGTCAATCACATTCACCAAGGCTGGCGGGTTTTAACCCGGCCCTGGCCAGCTAAAACAACAATGACAACTGAAACAAAAAAAAGCCAGGCATTGTGGCAGGCGCCTGTAGTCCCAGCTACTTAGGAGGCTGAGACAAAAGAATCACTTAAGCCCAAGAGTTGGAGGTTGCTATGAGCTGTGATGCCACAGTACTCTACCAAGGGCAACATAGTGAGATTCTGTCTCTAAATAAATAAATAAATAAATTATATATACACACACACACACATACATATATGGGGGGGCATGGCTAGTAATATGTTCAACAGTCACAGCTATATGCCAGGTGCAGTGGCTCATGCCTATAATCCTAACACTCTGGGAGGCCAAGGCAGGTGGATTACCTGAGCTCACTGGTTTAAGACCAGCCTGGGCAAGAGCAAGCCCCTGTCTCTAAAAAACAGCCAGTTGTTGTGGTGGGCACCTATAGTCTCAGCTACTTGGGAGACTGAGGCAAGAGAATCCCTTGAGCCCAAGAGTTTGAGGTTGCTGTGAGCTATGACGCTATGGCACTCTACCAAGGGTGACAAAGTGAGACTGTGTCTCAAAAAAAAAAAAAGAAAGAAAAACCAGTCATAGCTGTATTTTAGGAAAAACTTGGAGGCCAAGGCAGGTAGACAGCTTGAGCTCAGGAGTTCAATACCAGCCTGAGGAACAGCAAGACCCCATCTCTACTAAAAACAGAAAACTAGTTGGGCATTGTGGTGAGCACCTGTAGTCCCAGCTACTCAGGAAGCTGAGGCAAGAGGATTGCTCAAGCCCATGAGTCTGAGGTTGCTGTGAGCTACGATGACACCACGGCACTCTACCCAGGGCGACAAAGTGAGACTGTCTCAAGAAGAAAAAAAAAAATAGAAGAAGTCCACAAATGCCTTGTGAGATCAGTAAAGGAAAGGACCCTAACCCTAACTCTACCACACCCTCTTACAAACTGCTTATTTCCTATTTTCATCATCTATCTGAAAAAGAAAATAACACAGAATAAATGAGCCGTGTGCGCCTCAGTAACACGGCTCTGTTTTCTCTGTGACAGACATTTGCTTGTGGGATTTCGTGTCGTTCAACATTACCAGTCTGTCCATAGGCAAAGATGCACGCATTGTATCCATCGAAAGCATTCTGAAGGATATTCTCCCCAAGGCACTTGAAAACATCATCTTGACCTGAAACAGAGAAAGAAGGATGTTTTAAGTCAAAACGCCAGATGAACAATTCAAAAATCAAAACCAATAAACACGAACCTCTCTAAAATGTACAATCAGCTTATTTATCTCCAAATACGACGTTTAAACGTGATGAGCGCCTCCAAAGGCTTGTGCTGTTCAGGGTCTATCTAGTTAGCACATGAGGGAAAACTGGCAAAAATTTCCCTACGATACATATTTGCATAACCACCAACCACCGCTGTACGGTAATACAGTGCAGACAGCCAATGAACTGTTTATAATCAATGATTACGAATACCCAAAATCTGTACTTGGGACCAGGTGTGCCCCTTTTTATAACTATGTTCCATTGAACCAGTGCCTTTATGCAGTGGGTACTGGAGTTCAGAACAGTCACATATACCAATCCCCACCTCTCTCTTCCTCAGGGAAAGTTTCTAATTACAGGACCCAGAGCACATACCAGTAAGGATAGGCACTGAGACCTTGGGAATGTCCTTCCTTTCAGTCCCAGACATAAATGATAAAGTCAAGTTCTCCCTCATGGGCCAAATGAGACAGACAACAGCGCATGTGATCAAAAGTGAACCTGACTTTGGCGTCATCTAATCCCACTGAGTCTCGAATGTGACATGAAGAACTGGGTGCTCTGGGTTACGGCAATGGTGCCATCACATGTCACTGGCCAGGTAACTCACCAGCTAATTTATCATACTTCTGACACTAGGGCATCATGGGCCACCTAGATCAAATGAATCGTAATTTTTGAAACAGCCATACTATTAATCTTCTCATAGCAGAGGCCCAAACAATACGATGCCCAATATTTAAAAGAGACGGCTTATCTGGGAGGTTGAGGAGCGTAGACTGCTCATCTGGAAGGCCGAAGAGGGTGGATTGCTTGAGCTCATGGGTTTGAGATCAGCTAGAGCAAAAGCGAGACCCCATCTCTACTAAAAATAGAAAAAACTGAGGCAAGAGGAACACTTGAGCCCAGGAGTTAGAGGTTGCTATGAGCTATAACACCACAGCACTCTACCTAGGGCGACAGCTTGAGACTCTGTCTCAAAAATAAAAAAAAAAAAAAGAGAGAGATTGCTTAGAAACAGGCAACAAGGCCGGGCTTGGTGGCTCATGCCTGTAATCCCAGCACTCTGGGAGGCCAAGGTGGGTGGATTGCCCTGAGATCACAGGTTCAAGACCAGCCTGAGCAAGAGTGAGACCCGCCACTAAAAATAGCCGGGTGTTGCGGCAGGCGCCTGTAGTCCCAGCTACTCGGGAGGAGGCTGAGGCAAGAGAATCGCTTAAACCCTGGAGTCTGAGGTTGCTGTGAGCTGTGATGCCACGGCCCTCTGCCAAGGGTGACAAAGTGAGACTGTCTCAAAAAAAATAAGAAGAAAGAAACAGGTGACAGAAGTGGGTAGGGATAAAGAAAACACAAGGCTGTCATGTTGTCCCAAACTTGTGTAAAACGGGGCTTGAGGCAGTCAGGAGAATAACAGAATAATAGAGTTTGAGAGGAAAAACAACATTTGGAGAGAGTATGGTATACTCCTCTCCATCAAAGAAAGGAAACTGAAGCTCTGAAAGGTAAAGTGATTTAATGAAGTCTTGCAAGTGGCCAGGACAGCGGAGACCAGAACCTGGGTCTTTCACGGAGCCACACTCCCTCTCTAGACCTGTCCCAGGCATCCAGGGAAGTGTACGTGGTAACTGTGCGCTCCTGGTCTCATCTAAGACCTGTGTGTGTGTGTGTGTGATAGAGACAGAGAGAGAAACTCCACTGTGTGCCCCACTCATTTGACTGTATCATCTTATAACAAGAACAGCACATTTTCCAATCAAGCTAAAAACTCTAATAGCGAAAACACTACAGGAAATTGTAGTTTCTAAAGTTACACCAAAAATTACTATGGTGGTATGTACAAAAACTGCTGAAACCCCTTCCTCCACTGTCAGTGGCTGATGGGACACTGTCCTCTGTTACCTGCGTACTTTTCCTTGACCGACTCATCCATAGACCAAAAACAATGATCATAGGCAAATACCTGTTGAAAAATGAAGATAACGATGTGTATTAAGAGCAAAACTTAAAAATTATTTGTTAAAATAAAGTCATAACTGGCTCAGCACCCGTAGCACAGTGGTTATGGTAGTAGGCACTGGTAGTCCCAGCTACTTGGGAGTCTGAGGCAAGAGAATCGCTTAAGCCCAGGAGTTTGAGGTTGCTGTGAGCTGTGACGCTACAGCACTCTACACTAGGTGACACAGTGAGACTCTGTCTGAAAATAATTAAGTCATAACATCAATAGAATTGTTGACAATAGAGAAATAAAAACAACTTACTATCCAACCACAGGGATTAATTACATATACATATGTAGCCTTACGAACAGCAACTGAACACCCTAAAAAATCCCTAAGAGAAAGAGGAACTAACCCATCCCACAGAAGCTTCTTTAGAATCTGGGTTCAAATCAGAGATCAAATTCTCTTGAGGAGGCTGTGGGCCCAAGCAGGTTTCTCTTGGCCTGGGAATGAATTCCCAGCTGTCTCGAGAACAAGGAAGGATGAGTCGGCCCAGCACAGTTTGACCGCAGTTTGGAACTACCAGTTTTGAGCCAGTCTACGGCACAAAAGGAATCTCTGTTGCAGTTGCTAAGAGACTGCCCAGAATTGGTCGAAGTGCAAACGCAGCTTTTCCATAAACCTCCAGCCCCTCCTATGCCAATGAACAGCTTCGGGTTTATGAGTCGGCTGGCAGCTTACATGACTTCCATAAAATGGACAGAACACAGCATTTTCACTTTCAAGAAGAAAATTTCTAATTGTTCAATAATGAGCATAAGACCTTTAGAAGCACCAAGTAACAAACGAAATCTCTTACCTTTGGCTGGCCCCTGAGTTCCAAAAGAGAGGTCATCGTGGACATGAAAGAAATGGGAGGAGGTTTTTAAAAAAGCAGCTTAGTTTAGAAGACTTTTTTGAAAGTAAAAGGTAATCAACATTACATAAATCTGCAGTAAGAGCACCCAATATTACCTTCGAAACCAAACAGTAATTTAAAGGATAAATTAATGTCTATTAACTAGTAGGGTAAGATGCTAATTATAGAAAACCAATTTGTGTCTCTCCAGCAGAAAAAAGACTTTCTGAGCACTCAATAAATTTGAAAGTCCTGGGCTGGGCGCGGTGGCTCATGCCCGTAATCCTAACACTCTGGGAGGCTGAGGCCAGAGATTGCTTGAGCTTAAGAGTTCAAGACCAGCCTGAATAAGAGTGAGACCCCATCTTTAACAAAAATAGAAAAACTAACCAGGGCCAGGTACGGTAGCTCACCCCTGTAATCTTAACACTCTGGGAGGCTGAGGCAGGTGGATCGCCTGAGCTCAGGAGTTCGAGACCAGCCTTAGCAAGAGCGAGACCCCATCTCTAAAAGTAGCCGGGCGCTGTGGCAGACAGCTATAGTCCCAGCTACTTGGGAGGCTGAGGCAAGAGAATCACTTGAGCCCAAGAGTTTGAGGTTGCTGTGAGCTGTGATGATGCCATAGCCCTCCACCCAGGGTGACAGAGTGAGACGCTGCCTCATAAAAAAATTTTTCTAAAATCGCGTATGTCTTATGTTTTTTTTTTTTTAATTTTGGGATATTCTCATTGTACTTAACACTTGAGCATCCCAAATCCAAAACTCTGAATTCCAAACTTCTCCAAAGAACATTTCCTTCAAATGCTAGGTGGCTGGCTCAAAAAATTTCAGATTTTGGAGCATTCTGAATTTTGGACTTTGGAACTTTGAAAGCTCACAACCTGTATTTACTACCTACTCCTCTATGCCCAGCCGAGAACTTGTAAGAAAGCACAAAGCAGGCTCACAGACCCTGCCCCTCCATCAACCAACTTCACACAGCCACGAGGCTTCCTCCCCTCTCCTCCCCTCATCTCCATAGGTAGAAAGATGCATGTGTACACATATTGCTGTTTTCTGAATCATTCAAAAGTAAGTTTGCAGACATGTCCCTTCAACCCGTGTATAATTCCTAAAAATAATGATATTCACTTGTATAATCGTAGTACAATATCAAAATCCAGACAATTTAAACATAAAGGAAAGTACTTTTAAAACTGGAGTAAGGCTCGGCGCCTATAGCTCAACCGGCTAGGGCGCCAGCCACGTACACCTAAGGTGGCGGGTTCGAATCCCCAGCC